TTGTGAATCCTAGTTGCCCTTGATGTTCTATGGCAGATGAGAGTCACCTACGTCTGTTCTTTGCTTACACAGTCTCTGCTCAAATATGGCAGAAAATTATCAACTGGCTTGGAATCTCTCGGTCACCTAGAAGCTGGAATTATGAATTAGCATGGGTTACTGCAAATGCTACATATAAGAGTAGTAGAGCTGAAGTTTACAGAATGGTCCTTGAAGCCACCATCTAACATATCTGGAGGGAAAGGAACATGCATGTCTTTCAACAACAGCAAAGGCCAACGGAGCTTCTCACAAAATTGATCATCCAAGATGTTCATGCTAGAGGTCTTAGACATGTTAAAGGTGAATAGTTGGGTAGAGAATCATAATTTCTATCCTATGTAAAAGGAAATGAAACATATGTTTATGCTACAGTTTATTGTTACCTCTAATGCTAAGTGGCTAGGAATTGCATAGTAGTCTACTAAAGTAATGGGACTATGTCCATTACGCAGTCTTTTTTTTTATTCCTGTATCTCATTGCTCTTTGATTTATTAACCAAAAAAAAAAAAATTTGGGCAAAATTTACTTTTACCATACTAATTACTACATTATTGTCTTGGAGCACAAATTATCTTTTATTTTTTACATGGAACTCCTAAGTAAATTTTCATTATTTATTTTAAAATTGAGAGATTATATGAGAACGACAAATTTTGATGTATTAGTGTTGAAGTTGGAGGAAAATAATACTAGGAGAAAACTTCTTTTATTTCTTATTAGTGATTTTTATTAGGAGAAAACATCCCTAATAAATATTATCTCTAATCATTCAATGCACCATTAACATATTTTAAATATATGTTAATTTAAATATTTTTTATTCACATATAAGAAGTCATAAACACCTCAAGTATAATTCACATATTTTGCTATACCAAATAGGAAAAATTACCTAACTATACATTTTTTTCTTACCCTATTTTCTATTATTCCCTATCGTTTTAAAAAATCACAAAAATTTCTCTTTTTTTCACAAATTATCTCCTTTCCAGATACATAACTTACAATCTACCGACTCCACTATTTCCCTCCTTTTTTCATGCCTATAATCACTCCACTATATCACTAGTTACCTTCATCACTCCTTTATTTTTAATTATAAATATTTTCTCTCTCTAGTTAATGATTTAAAGTTAATCAAGAGGTAATTCTTTATTTTATTTTTCTTTCTAGTTCTTTTTTTTTTACAGGAAAACCATGTGAATATTGGGGTAATTTTTCATACACAAAGACAAGCGTTTTAATGTTAGAGAGATGATTAGAGTGTAGACTCAATATAAACCACCCCTATATGGACATGACAAAACAAACAACGAGAAAATTAGGACAAAAACGAATCATAAAAGTGTCACTCATATATATATATATGTATCATATGTTTGTTATGTATGTGTAGTACTATTCTATAATTAAATCATTGTTTATCATATTTATATTTTTTTTTGTATATGATACATAGCTACATCAAATTATATGGGCATGATACATAAATACTAATTTATACTAAATGTATCGATCTCAGATCAAACAACTTATGGACAACAATTACATGTTTAATGTATTCCGTAACAATACAATACTTATCAATTTAAATGAGATACATAAATAGTATTGTATCATGCACTAATTTTGTAGATATGATATGTAAATTCGAATTTATACTAAATATATCAATTACATAGAACTACCACACGGTAATGTATCGATCTTAAATCTAAGATCCTATGGGTAACAATTACTTCCTTAATGTATCTAGTATAAATACAATCTTATCAATTTAAACGAGATACATAAATAGTAATGTATCATGCACTATTTTTTTTAGATATGATACGTAAATTTGAATTTATACTAAATGTATCAATTGCATAGCAATTACCACACGATAATGTATCGATCTCAAATCTAACATGTTATGGGCAACAATTATTTATTTAATGTATCTAGTATAAATACAATATTTATCAACTTAAACAAGATACATAAATAGTAAATGCTAAGTAGCAAAGATATTCATGATGTATCTTTTCAAAATTTTCGACAATTTTGAATCAAAATTAAAAGGATCTTCAATAAACTAGGAGAAGAATTTTGAATCTAAAAATTATCAACAATTTTGAATCAAAATTTGTCATGACCCCGACCGTCGTGATTGACACCCACACTAACTCTCCGGTGGAAAAACCACTACTACAATTCAAACCAAGTAACTAAACAAAAACTAAGACATTTAAGTTACGGAAGCAAGTTAAATACTAAGGAAATAAATAGGGAGTTCCTATAAACTCCAACAAAAGTCTAACAATGAACTAAACAATGCGGAAAAATTAACCTAGAACCTGAAAGTCAATGTACCAAAACATCTAAAGTTCAACAAGTCTAAACAAGAAGGGATGCAACCCCAATCTAATGTACTAATAACTAATAGAACATAGTCTAAGTCCGGAAAATGGTGGACATAGACGAAAGAGAACCCATGGCAGCCCGGAAGAATTGACTCACCCTTAAATTTGAACGATCACTGATCTCCTAAGTGAGGTCTGTCAGTAGCCGCTTGAAGATGTCATGTACTCAACAAAAATAAGAGCAAGTGCAGTATCAGTACACAACCACAACGTACTGGTAGGATCTCGCGGCTATCCCACTAAGTGCAACATAAGCAAGTCAAGACAACATTATAATCACATGCATATATATCAACATATACAATGTTATCAATATTTACGAACAACGAACATTTCTCATGATACGCAATTATATCAAATCATTAGTCCTCTCATGGAACCCAACCCAAACAGTTAGCATATCGGAACGCAGTATCTGATCCCATAATTATGCCGGAACGTGGCAATCGATCCCATAGTTATGCCGGAACGTGGCAACCGATCCAAGTTAGTTATGCCGGAATCAATAAACAATCACTAATTACCCGAATTACTAACAATTCTATGAACCCTAGATCATACCTATAATCCCAATTATCCAATTTAGGGTTGTTTCCACCATAGAATCTATAACAAAACCCTCCCCCATCAATATTCACCCATTCTATTACATTCTACGGATAAAAAAATGGATTCGGGGAGTGAAAAGCTTACCTTAGGAGTCGCATGGGGTTCGTTTCTTAGCTCTAAAAGTCAAAAAGTGCATAATAAGGTCATTTATGGGTTTATTAATGACCTTAAGTCGCGTCGAGCCCGCCACAGCGGCCCTCATCCCGCTGTAGCTGCCCCACCAGAGCGGTAAAATCCAGCGCCAAAGCGGCTAGAACGAAACAAAGAGCTATTTTGAGAATTCCAAAATTCCCATTTCACAACACACCTCCAACCACGACGCTCAGAAAAATATCCTTGGCGCTAAGATCGATTTCGGGAGTTCTACTCACCCGAATTCAATTCCGTAAAGTCGTACGGATTTCTCAATGAGTTATCTAACTATTCATACAATCAAAATCATAAATGATTCACCTGATTGTTACCAGATTTCCCTACACCTCAAAGACTCCAATTTCGTCCAAATCTGGACTAGGTTGGGAAAATCCAAATACTACGAAAAAGTTTTTCGACCCCTAATTTTCGATCCAAATACTGTGAAAAAGGCCGGGAACAAGTCGTTACAAAATTGAAAGGATCTTCAATGAACTTGAAGATTCAAAAGGAAATCTTTTGTCCAACAACAATTTCATCTCTTTTGTATCCTTCATAAGTCACCTTGTTTACCCAAAATTTCGACAAAAGTTTTTTAATCAAATCTGAAAGGTTTCTTCGTGGATGGGGGGAGCAATTTGAAATTTTGAATTTCTTCGTTCTGATAGGATTTGCCTTTGTATGATTGAGAGTAAGGAGAAACATAAGTGTAATTTATGAGATTTAATTAATTTTCATATTTTATTCCTTTTTTAGCGCAATAGAAAGATTCTTCTTGTATTAGAATTAATGTATCCGGATGGTGAATTAATGTATCATGATGGTGACTTATATATTCGAAAGGTACAAATTTTAAGGGATTATTGTAATTTAAAAAAAGATAGGGATATGATGTAATTTACTCTTTGCACTATGCAATTTAGGTAAATTATACTTTCAAATACCCATCAACAATATTTGCATTAATCGACTTCCTCCAAGTCCTTAATCAACCTTTAGTAATTACAAAAAAATCTTACAAAAACTTATAAAATTAAGTGATTACAAATTTACAAAGATTTCTTTAGAGAGAATTGAGAAAAATCATGGAACAAGGAATGCAAAATAGTGAAAAAGAAGAGATTACTCCTAAAATTAAAGTATGTAATTGAACTTTCAATACAAATTTTTGGGTAATTTATTGAGACTCTCTTGGAAATAGCTTCCCTACTACCTTTACAAGTAAATAGTAAAATTTGCGCACATTTTATTCTCTCCAAATCCAATTTGTGAGATTTCATTGACACCTTGTTTTGGATGGTTGTTACTACTTGTATTGTATTGCATTGTTAATTCAAATACAACGTCTTTCTCGAATTATTGTATCGTATCGTTTAGTTTAAATCCGTCATTAGATGACGACGAAAAGAATCATTTCATGTATTGACCAATCAGTATGATTGCGTCATTACTTTAATATTTTCTTCACATTTTATCTTTATTTATTATTAATAATTATACTTCATATTTTTTCCTATCTTTTCATAATAACTCTTCCTTGTATCCTATTTTTCCGATAGATTTATTATTTAAATAATAAATGTGTAACATTATATAACAATACAATCTATCCAACACAACACAATATAATATGTTATGAAACAATAGGTAATACAGTCCAAAATATTATTATTATTATTTGCTAAAAAAAAATGGTCAAGATAACTTTAGTAAAAAGATAGACAAAATTAAACCTACATAAAGAAAAAGAAAAAAAGATAAAGAGAGGGTATAATTGGAAGACATTGGGAAGTGAGCTCTCACACGTTTTAACTACTACTTGAAGGGTTCTGTATTATCATCTCTGCCGCTACACTATTTTTAGGGTTTTTCAGTCTCTCTTCCTTTAACTCTTCTCATCTGCTCTAGAAAAAATATATATTCAAATATGAGGTAAATCTATATCTCTCTGTACGATTCTCAACTGATTTATTTTTTGCTTTCACTTTATATTTTCGTAAGATCTCCGGTTATTATCGTCTTTTTTTTGCGATTTTTTAATTTTTTTTTCGTTGTATTATACTGGTTATTTTGTTTTTGTTGTTGTTGTGTTTATCCATTTATGTATGACTGTGATTTTGGTACAACTGCAGAAATATTGATGTATTTTGTTTATTGTGGTTTATGGCAATTTTTTCTTACTTAATCATCAGTTTTTTTGTTTAAAATAGTTTTATTTGTGTGTAAAAGAGAAGCTAAAATGCTAGAAATTAATATATATTATTAAGGGGATACTGAAGTGGTATCAGTAATAATTGCATATCCTTCTGATTTAGGATTAATCGGAGGGCGTATTAGTGATTTGGAGAAGATTCTCTGTTCTCAGGTCAAGTAGTTACACCATGTATATTTTATGATTTTCTTGCAGTTGTATAGTTTCAGGCTATGTTGCTCGGACTCTTCAATAATGTTGTGACACTTGTAGGAGTGGTGTTTTTGAAGATTTCGAGCAATATAGGTTTCGGGTACTAGTGTCAGGTGTCGTGAGCAAATATGCATGTTTCCTGAGATACACTACACACTGATTCTGGTGATTGATTCTCTTTTGCTCATTAGCTAGTAATAGTAGTAACATTGCTATATCTCTACCAGTCAAACTGGAAATGATCTGGTAGGATTCGTGTGAAATATTATCTCCTGAATGGAGAAGGTGAAGATTATTTCCTCTAGCCAAATATTAAAATGATGGAACGACTTTGTATTTTAGTTTGTAAATTTGTGTGCTGAATGCCACTTTGTTTATCTGCTTAGAGAATTTCTTTTGTCATCCTCTGTATGTGATTATATTGTGACTCATCTAATTTGCACAACACCCCTTGCATATGTATTAAAATTTCTCTCTTTTAGCTAAAGATAAACTTTTTCTTGGTTGACAGCCTCCATCCAGAAGTCAAGTGGGCACAAAGGCCTGATGTGGTGTATCTCACTGTGATGCTACCAGATGCTAAAGATCCAAAAGTAAACTTGGATCCAGAAGGAGTGTTTAACTTCTCTGCTAGTGCTGGGGCAGGTGACCGTCACTATGAGTTGAAGCTTGAGCTTCAGGATAAAGTTAATGTTGAGGTAGGAAGTAGTTATTTGATTTCGTTACATCATTGGATTGATTTGAATTTGCTAGCTACTCATATCATGCCTGTCTGTATTATATTTCCAATTGGGGCAGGTTAGGTAGAACTAGTGTCATGTTGTAAATCATGCTTATAGAAGCCAAATCACAAGTGTAGTTGAACCAATTTGAAACCCTAACTTTATTTTCTAGTTACAGTAAGATGTCAACAAGTAGGTGATTTATCAATCATCAAATAGTAACAAGTGGATGGTAGTTTGTGTGATTTAGCTGTCATAATATAGTAGGTAGTGGTGAAGGGAACTGGGTCAGATCAACATACAAATTTAAGTGGGCCTTATTTAATCACTACAATTGTTTATCCATGTTATATAGAATTGCATTGTAATTTTGCAATTTCATTCTGAAGGAGAGCAAAATTAGTACCGGCGTGAGAAGCATATTCTGCATTTTGCAAAAAGCAGAGCCAAAATGGTGGACTAAATTATTGCGTGGAGACGGTAAAGCACCACACTATGTGAAGGTAGATTGGGACAAGTGGGTGGATGAAGATGATGAACCTGATGCTGGTATCATCTCTATCATGATCTGTCAATCTCTTACAGTAGCTGTTATCACACATGCAAAAACTGACTTTTTTACTGTTTCAAACATTTTTAGGTCCTGGGGATATGGATATGAATTCAATGGATTTCTCAGTAAGAATTTACTGTGGTACTCTATCTATATGTTGCTTTTTTGATTTGGAATATCTTTTAATCTTTCTATTCACTTGTGTAATTTGTAGAAATTCGGTGATATGGGTGGAATGGGAGGTGATATGGCTTCAATGATGGGCGGAATGGGCGGAATGGGTGGAATGGGCGGAATGATGGGTGGAATGGGCGGAATGGGTGGGATGATGGGAGGAATGGGTGGCATGATGGGTGGAATGGGAGGTGATATGGCTGGAATGATGGGTGGAATGGGAGGTGATATGGGGGATGACCTTGATGAGAGTGACGATGAAGGTAATTTGACAGCTCTGAAGCATGTATAGATTGTTGCTTTTTGTTTATGATGATGTGTTGTTAGATTTGCATCCTCACTATTACAACTATTATGTATCTTGCACTTCTTTTGGCCCTTCTTTCTGCATATTGAAGTTTTCTTTTCCTTGTTCTCTCCTCCGTAATGCACAGGGCGGGGAAGAATTCAATAGCAAACCTATTGAAGCATGTTGCTTGCAAAGAAAAGTTCTAAATATGATGAGGAATGCATGCATTGTGTTATAAATCATGTTTGGAATCATATGTGATTCTTCAAAATTGATATGGTTGAAATTGGTGAACTTGGCCAAATCCTTGTTGTACCAACTGTTTCTGATTGTATTCAATAAGACCAACAAGTTCCGTTAGGAAAAAATTCAGACCTCCAATCATGTCTATAAAATATAACCCTTCCGTTGCAAGATCAACTAATAGATTCTAAACTTCTTTTTGAAAGAATAAAGTGGTATACAAAGAGTAGTAATTATATTATTTTAGTTGATAAGATTTAAGGTACTTGACTTTATATGTTAAATCGTTGATCTGATGACATTTCAAAAACTGTTATGATGAGAAATCAAGAACTAGAAAGATTCTAGAACTTGAGAAGTAGATATTAGTGTATGCCTCTCTTGTTGTGTTTCAGGATGAAGTTCGACTCCTAGTCTTGCCTCCTTCCAAAAGTTGATGTTAAGAGGCGGATAAGTTTGAGATACATGTTGTAGATATGCCAATCAGGATATTTCCTGAAGGAAGTAATGACATACTTTACCATAGACAATTTGTGAAGAGGAGATGCTCGTATGTCCTAGTACGGAGGTGTGAGAGGTTCGTTATGGATGGGTTTACGAGAGGTAGAGGGAAACCAAAATAGTATTGGGGTAGATTAGAGAGAGGATATGATGCAATTTCAGCCTACCAAGGACATGACCTTAGATGGTAGGGTGTGGACACCTAGTGCATTGTTTTTCTATCAGTTAGTAGTTGTAGTATCGCCATTGTAGTTTTTTTTTTTTTTGATTTCTATTACTATGTACCTCGATTATTTTATTATTTTTTTGTTGTTTCCATTTTGTTATTATCTGCTGTACTATTTTTGTTTTGTTTTTTATTTCTTGTACTTCCATTGCTTTTTTTTCGGGACTGCTTTGGACGATTTTTCTTGAGCCAAGTCTATGATAAACAACCTCTTCATCTCTGAGGTAGGGTTGGTAAGGTTTGCTTACTCTCTACCCTCCCTAGACCCAAAACATTGTGCGACTACACCTGATATATCGTCATACCATAGGCAATTTGTATTTGAACTTTAAAAGAGTGCCCACATGTGTAATACCGTTTGGATTATGTCTGAGTTTTATTAATGTTGTGAGATTTTCCCTCCTAGTTTGCTGCATGTAAAAACCCAATTTTGTTCTCTTCTGCAGAGCAAGAAGTGATAAAGCCTTCTGCTAAAGCTGCTGAGGTGGTAGATGCGAAACCTAAGGCAGAAGGTGAAGCTGCATAGGCAAGAAGCAGAAGCTCGGGTGCATAAGTAGACGCTGTTGCTGAAGACCTGTTGGCTTGCTTTCAGCAATGCACTAGAGTGGCATGGTTACAAGTTGTCCCTTTTCAGTTCATGAAAGTAAAAGAAGTTTATGGCCCATGGGAGTTTGTTATGAGGGACATTATTATCATTTTCATCCACCTGAGCCGAAAAACATACCTTTATATGCTTTAGATTGTTTTGACTTTTGTACTATTGTTTTAGTTCTACTGATAATGGTGTTTGCACAACTTGCATCAAATATCTGTATCTTCCTGACCTGACGTATCTCTTTTAGATGTTTCTGCTTAAACTATCTGGTTGTTTCGGAACTAGTTCAACGTTCTAGAGTATTAAAAACATGTTTGATTTCTCCGTGTCATTATTCGAAAATATTTATCTAGGTGGACGAAATTAGTCGTGAACAAGTAGTCTGCTTATTTTCAAATTGCTTTATATATCAGGTTCAGGGGTTGACACATGAAGGCATCAGTGCTGAATATATTTTTCCTCTTATGTTCATAACCACTAATTTACTTGGGGTTAATGTTAATTTTTTTGGTGTGAAGTCTGACAAAACATAAGCTCTGTCGAGTAGGCTAGCACAGACTATCACATCGTTGATTGAAAGTCCATATCGTTCTATTTTTCTCCATCTTTGGCTAGAAAAGAATGTATTTGTCAAACTTTGTTGTCTCACTCGTTTAGATACAATGATAATCATCAAAGTTAGTTCTCTTTAAAGAATCTCAGTCGGAAGCCCTTATTTTCATCAGACATACAATGCAGCAGGGCACGATGAAACTAAATATTCAAACCTAAATTAATTATTAGGTTCTATATCTAATTTACCTGGGATTATAATTCAGTTAGTCAGAAATGATCTTGAAGAATAATAGATATAAAGATCACGAAGAGGAATGTGTGGGATTGTAATTCAATTAGTCACGAAGAAGAATGCGATACAAGTAACAAGTTCATCCGTCTTCCATCAAATGCCTCTAGTTCATTCTTCTTCATTTCATCATTAAAAGCTTGTATAACTACTATACTATATAACATTTAAGATGACAAATTTCACTACCTTATTTTAAAAAAACCTCTAGTCAGAATCAAGGTGGTTGTATTTTGTGAGAGAGTCTAACCCTAATTCCTAAATAAATCAACAACAACAAAAAAGTAAAATAATAAAAAATAGTCCAAACCCTAAACCCTGCGTGCCGGAGGTTCAGTTTCTTCACAGAAGAAGAAAATGGAGGGCGCAGAGGAGATGGACATAGAAGGACAATCGCAGGCGCTCCCAATATCCAACAATTCTAAGCGATTTGGTATCAGAAACTCTATTCAGACTAACTTCGCCGACGATTACGTTTTTCAAATTGTTCCCAAGTAATTCTCTCCGTTTTTCCTTTCACTTTCTTATTGATTTTTATGTATTAGCAGTAATTTTTGGTCCTAAAATTCTCACTGAATGTTCGTGTTTATAGGAATGATTGGACATCAATGGCGGTATCACTCTCAACTAATGCGATTAAGTTGTACTCTTTAGCTACTGCACAGTACATTGGGGAATGTAATGGTCATTCCTCGACGATTAATCAAATTTCCTTTTCGGATCCTTCATCGCCACATGTGCTGCATTCTTGTTCTTCTGATGGAACTCTCAGAGCTTGGGATACCAGGTCTTTTCAGCAGGTTCCAGTTTTTAACTCAATGTACTTTCTTTAGGAGTTGAGATGTATTTTGTTTTGATTTCAAATAGATGGAATGCAGGTGTTTTCCGTAAATGCTGGCCCTTCTCAAGAGATATTTAGTTTCTCCTTTGGTGGACCTAATCATAATCTGCTTGCTGCCGGGTGTAATTCTCAGGTACGAAGCCTTGTGGCTGCAAGTTAGTAGTGGTAAATTTAGTTGAATCTTAGTTCGTGGGTTCCCTCTGTACCTCACTGAAGCAGCAGCGCGTGTGAACTTCGTGTTTCTATGCATGGTATAATGGTTCAAGGCAAGGACAGTGATTGACACCTGCTGGTTGGTGCCCCAATGCTATATCTGACCCTGGAAAGTAGTTAGTTTTGTCTGTCGTGAACAACTTACTGCTTGCTTCAGCCTTCAAATTGTTTGAAACTACAAAAGAATTCCAATATGCCAGATATAATTCCTAAGAATTCTCATATTACATGAGAGTTGTGTTTTGGCTTATTCTTTTAACTGAGGCACATGAAATTACTTGGCTCTATTTAGTTGTATGAGATATGTGGCAAATGACATTGCATTGTGGTTATCTTTCTACAGATACTCTTTTGGGATTGCAGGACCAAGTGTCAGGTTGCATGCTTGGAGGAATCTCATACGGAAGATGTTACTCAGGTGTGTTACTCTACTAGTTTATTGACTCATTTCCCATGCATTGTTGGTTGTAAACCATTGAGTTTATTGTGTAAAGCAATGTTCTATAAGTTAATAATAGTTTTTAACCTTTTTAGTACAACATTTCAAATTGTTTTTCTAAGAGCTGAATAATCTGAAATTTCTTTCCTAGTCGCATGATTGTAGAGAAAATTTTAGTATGGTCAAGTTTTCTGAATTATTATTTAATACCGGAGGTGTTCTTTGAGTATTTTCTGATTTCTAATAGTATGTTTTGTATTCTAATGATGACACAAAAGAAACGTAACATATAGGCATACTAGGTATTATCTTACTGTAGATTATTAGCTTGTTTTGAAGTTTGAGTGCGTGGGACTTAATTATACTTTTAATTGCTAATTTTCCAACTCCGTTAAAGCAGTTGGATGTTGTGCTGAACCTGCTATGGTTTTCAGTGATCTGATTACTGCTCCTCTACCATTCACAGATGAGATTGTGGTGTTCATTTCATGTTTCCTTAACTATCTGAGCAAGAGGAGAAAAAATAATGACTGACCTAGTTGCGATGCAGAGTTAGTTATGCTTTTAATGATTCCCAATGCATGCCTTTCCGAAGTCCTTTTTTTATTGTTGTTTAGAAATACTACAATACTGTGTCTTGAAGTCTCTTTTGTTGCTTGTGGTCACTTTTAGGTGCACTTTATTCCAGGCTATGATGATAGACTCATTTCCGCATCGGTTGATGGATTGATGTGTCTATTTGATACTGGTGGAGATATCAACGATGATGATCAAATGGTATCGGTATGTCAAAAAGAACTTATGCAGTCCATATTTTCTTTTTATTTCATTTAAAAATTATAACTGCAAGTACTTTGAGAAGGTGCAGTCCCACTGATCACTTAGGGTGGAAAAGACACTAGCTATAGATCAATCCTATGTCTTTTCATACTGTTATGCTTATACTGAAATCCATGCTGTTATATCTATAGAGATACATCAGACTGCGACTGAAAACTTTCATGATCTCAGTTAACTTGTACTCAAAAAAGACAAAAAGGTAGTTCATGTGTATGCTAGTAGTAAATTTTTGGCATCTCTTGTTATGAGAGCATGACTTCCATCCATGCTCAGTATACGACACCTTGTCTTCTTCTCAGTTCTCACAATGATTTTGAATTTCTTTTTTCTTTACATCTGAACTTGCTAGTTCTGACATCAGTACAGTACAGATGTTTAGCTAAACTCTGAAGAAAAAGCCTGGCATATTGCAGTTTTATTGATTAATGAGCACTCCAGTATTTTCATATTTCTATCTACCGTTAAGTAGATTTCTGTTCTTTTTGATTGTATGCTACTTATACCAAGATGTAATTACAGGTACTCAATGTGGGAACCTCTATTGGAAAAGTGGGATTTCTTGGGGAGAAGAATCAGAAGCTTTGGTGTTTGACACACATTGAAACTTTAAGGTTTTATAATACCCATATCATCCTAATATGCTCCATAGCTCCATAGCTCCATGCTGATTTGTCTGTTATGCTACACTTTTGGTCCTTTTAGCACAGTTGGTATATTTAGTATATTGTGCATCCCTCCTTGTTGTAGATATCTCTGAACATGATCTAAGCTATTTCTTTTTACTTTTGGAGGACAAATCTGATCCTCACCTTTTTTTGTTTGTCTTTTTCTGGTTCAGTGTCTGGGACTGGAAAGAGGAAAGAACTGAGGTCAGTTTTGAGGATGCTAGATCCTTGGCCTCCAAGAGCTGGATGGCGGACAACGTATGTGACTTGTACATCTGTTCATTTTCTCTATGCAGGGAAACTCATTACTCCGTTCTTGTTAAATATCTAATATGTGTATGCGTTCAAAGGAAGACATACTACTGCTTTGCAGTTGGCAGTGATCTTCGAGACTTGGCAACTGCAATGTTCTGCACTTGGAATTTTTCTTTAAAACAATAAATTAAAGATTTATCATATAGCTTGGAAAATCTGTTGTATTCGAGGTGCAGTGCTATTTAAGGCAATAATTCTGAGTTAGATAGAGCATAAACTGACTACTCTGGCTTAAATTTTGATGGCAGGTTGACTATTTTGTTGATTGCCACTATTCAGTGGAGGAAGACCGTTTTTGGGTAATTGGTGGGACGAATGGTGGTTCCTTGGGCTATTTCCCTGTAACTTATAAAGAGACACGAGCTATTGGTCCTCCAGAAGCAGTGTTATGCGGTGGACATGAAGGCATCATTAGGAGTGTCTTGTCTGGCGTACCAGGTCAGACCATGGATAACCACGGTATCTTTGGATGGACTGGTGGTGAAGATGGTCGTCTTTGTTGCTGGTTGTCTGATGGTTCTGCTACAAGTCAATCATGGATCTCTACTCTTGCTCTGAAATCAGACAAGACTCGCAGAAAAGGCAGACATTCTCCGTATTAACAATTTTTCCTTTGGATTTTAGATTATGTTGTATATTATTATTAATTCCTTATATCGTCTTCGTGTCTTAATTCATTGGTCAGGCTTGCTTCATTTAAAATGCCGTCTTTCTTGGTGGTTACTTTGGTTTTTTTTTTTCTGGGACAAATGCTTGAGCTCTTATAAGATTGTGAGGGCACACAAGAGCTTAGTGTAATACATCTTTGGAATACCCTGATGGAAGCCAGTAATTTCCAGCTACTGAATTTTTTATTGTACTCTATGTAGGCTCAGCTTCACGGATGGAAGGAGGGTTAGAGCATAACACATATCTCACGAACAGAAAACAAGAATGTTAAATTAACCACAATGAGTCATATAATTCTATTTCCATAGACAAAATGCAGTTTCAATCTACAGGTGTCTAATAATTTACAAAAAGAAGTCCTGCTTCGATTCAGTTAGGTGATGTTGCCAACTGGAGTTCATAAGGTGGTTTCATCCGCATTTAATCTTCTATGTACGGTCCTCAGATCAACCAAGTGACGCATTGTTGGTCTACCATGTGGACAATTCCACGGAGACTTGAGGCGTGAGAGATTATCAAGTATCTGAAACAAAGAAACTCGGGTCATAAAGCAAGCCAGAGGCTGCAGAAATTCTACATTAAACTAGACAATTGCTGAAGTACCAAGTAGAGAGGATGAAATCTCAGATACCATATGATATGAATATACATCCAAGAACACAGTAAAATGAACAAAATACCTTTTGCATCTCATTTCTTCCAAGTGGATCTCCAATAACAACAGATGATTTGCATGCACGCGATGCCAACATTGCACGAACTCTAGGAGGACATAAGGAATCGGCTGTATCATTCTTATAAGCACCCATTATGGAACATTCTTCCTCACTATCGGCAAGAATGGAAATGAGTTCTTTCACATCTGCAAGAACAATAAAGAAAAATGAAAAAATATACGAGTCAAAGTTCCTTAATGCAATAAAGCAGTGCAGATACAAGAGTTAACACGACTTATCCTCCCTTACATTCTGTAGCTCACATCGGCCCAACTAACCGCCAATAGAATGACCAAAGGGAAATTTGTCCAGTAATGCAAAGCGCATTCCACATAATGAAGTTCTCTCTTTAGTTATTTTTCTATGAGGCTTTTCTCTAGCTATCTTATCACGTTCAGATCTGATATCCCGACTCTAACTACCTACTTGTAGATGATCTGAATCAACGATTAGCAACTTGTGTGGTCATTTCTGAAGTAGCGACCCAAAGATGAAACAATGACCTATGTCCTATGGACCTTCAAGTTTGTAGAAATATGGAATGCATCTGAGTGACTGATTACCTGCAATTCCAAAAGTTAGATTTTTGCTGAAGGGAACTGCTTTTAGCTTAAAACGATGCCCTGGAGGAGCACACAGATCCTCTTCCAAGAGAAATCCATTTTTCCTGTGAAGCCAAAGATAGAAATGATATAGTTATCAATCTAAGAGAGTACACATGTTACCAAATAGTTTAAAGCAAATAAGACTAGTAGTTTATCAAACAGAAGAAGTGCAAGATGCCAAGATGTTTTTGTAGACTGCACTTGGCTGCTATATTATGAACTAATTTTATTTTGTTGTCAAAGTATTTGATTAAGCAGATAAAGAACCTGTTTATTTGTTTTTGACACTTGTATTTGACTAAACCTTAACAGACTATTTTTACTCCTTTTTCCCGGTTTCCTTATTCACCATGGATAGTATACAGGATTTTACTTTCTATTGCTTTATTTTTTTTGACAAAACTTTCTATTGCTTTTCCAATGTAAGAACTTAAGATGGATGGTGGAATCTGGGAGTTCGGAGAGTAGTCATAGCTCAATCTTTCCTAGGGGAGGGTGATTGCAGGGGGGCTAGG